AATTGTTAAAAGAAAAAGATATATAAATATACAATATTAGATTATCTGAATTTGTAATTTGAAAAGTTCTATTAGTTCTTAGTAATAGTTAATAGAGAATAATAAAAATGATATTAAAAAAATAAATACTAAAATTTAAGTAAAATTTATAAAAATATATATAGCAGTTTAATAATTAATCTTGATTGTAAATACTGGTTTAAACTAAAGTAATATTAGGTTAACTATAAGTATAAAATACAAAAGATTTTAATAAGTTTAATACAAAGTTAAAAATTTCTTATATAAGTAAACTGCTTTAAAAACTTTATAATTATAGCATATTAGTATTAGTATTAACTAAGACAGTTAATAAAATAAATAAGTAATAAATACAGAAACTAGAGTATTTAAATAGAAGACTCATCTTTCAAGTAGTATTCAAATCCTATTAACAGCAAAAATTTGAATAATTATCTATATAATATTTATATTATGACAACTGTTACTAATGATTAGGTTAGAATATTTGTAATAGTAATTATACTAGCATGACTGGCAAGTTATGCATTTGTGTAACTAGTTATATAGAAAAATGCAAACTGACAAATCAGATAATGTAAACATTAGATAAGTTATTGTAGTTATGTATATTTGTTAAAATTGGATAACAAGAAGTCTATTTGAGAAAACCTAAATAGAAAGGTAATCAGATTTTTAATGACCTTACTGTAAAGGCTAATCTGAAAAAACAAATACCAAGGTTGTAGTATCTGATTGTAGTACTTAAACAGTCAAGAACCTCTGCATTGAAAGTCTCAGAGATATTACTAATCAGACTATTAGAATGGATTGAAAAAAAATATTAGACTGATCTGATATACTAATAAACTGGTTATAGTTTTACATAGGCTATCTGGATTAAAAGTCTAAATAAAAACCTAAACAAAGACAAAAGTATACTAAAGTACTAAGATTATACTATAATAAAATAGATGCTAGATCTGTATGAACTTTACAAAAGCATAGTAGTTAAATAATATATATAACTCTAATTGCAAGTATTGATTCTACCATAGTAATACCTAGGTTAGCTATAAAAATGTATACAAAAAACTCTAAAAGGTTTATTTTAAAGATAAAATAGTCTTAAGGTTAAGATAATGATCTGAGTATCTGAGTATAACCCAGTAAGTTAACACAGATTATAGGTTTAGAGAGTTTAAAGTATAACACCTAAGCAGAAGTATTAGGTATAATAATTGGTAAAGAACCTTTGAATGAACTTCTTAAATAGATAATATAGAAAAGTTATATATAAAGTCAATTGTATGCTTTCCTGTAGTGGTTTATAAAATCACATTACCAAAAAAGTTATTAATAAAAGTCAAAAGACCAAAAAGATCTTTTTTTTTTAAAAAAAAAAAAATAGAAGACTTATAAATAAGTTCTAAGTATGATAACTAGTATAGAACCTTTAGACAAACTATTTAAATATTAAAATTGTATAAATAATTAATTGTATACTTTTTTTATAATTACTTCTATAATTGTTGTATAAACAACTATCAGCTAAAATATACTGTATATTACTAACTAATGTATTTTAAATACTATTTAATCAACTATCAAATTTTTTGAATAGTTTTTTTAAGTACTAATTACAAAAGAAGATACTATAATAAGGAAGTACTTTACATAATTTAATAGTAATTTAATAAAAGTTCAATATAAATATTATATATACGTATCTGACTAGAATAATATCTAGATCTTATTCAATCTTTTAAATCTTGAATCTATAAATTGTATTCAAATATTTTTTATAAAAAGTATTATAAGCAGAAGGTACTTTAGTCAGTGATATATGATACTATCAATAAAATTCTGGATCGCAAGTACTCATCTTAATATTAAAAAAAATAAACTAAATTAACTAATCAAATTTTTTGATTTTGTATTACCTAAACAAATTTTAACTCATCTAAGTAAACTTTATCACATATACAAATTTATTTTTTTAAATAATATAATAGTTCAAAACTTTACTATAATAGATAAGTAATTTTATTTATAATATTATAAAATTTTTTTATTGATTAATTAAAATATATATAAAATTTATTAATAACATATATCAATTTTAAATAAAAATTTTAATATACCTATATAAAAATGATCTATATGCCCACTACCCTTAACCATTCGTAATTTACGTAATTTATATTACTACGTTCCTGGTATGTTTAAAATGTACGTGAATTGCGGAGTCGAGTCCCAAGTCGACTTGGGACCGAACTTTAATAAAGACTCGGCTTTTTGAGTCGAGTAGAACTTTTAATATCCCTAGTTTTTTAAAAAACTTTGGATTAACGGTTAGAGTGAAGAGTCTGCACCTAGCAGCTCTAAGTTCGAATCCGGCTGTTCTGGTATTGACTCAAAGTAGGCTTCTACGCAAGAAATGGGGATATACAACAACGGTTGAAGTACCAGAACTGACAGCTTTTTTATTATTTTTGAAAGCATTCATACGTCGGAATAAAATTATTGAGAATGCAGAATCTACATAGGTTAATTCCAAATAAACGTAGGTTGTACCTGAGTTGCTAAAGAACTCCAATTCAACTTACAAAAAAAATTTGTTAATTCCTTCTTTTTTGCAACACCTAGTCTATGTATTTATAGTCAAATGATTTGACTCACGTTAAGCATCTATCATATATTTATGGTAGTGATAAAACTCGCCCTAATGATACTTGTATAAGGTGGTTATTATTTTTTTAAAAAAATTTTATATTTCTGTATTTAGCAAAGAGTAAAGCTTCTCTTGACACGTATTGAATTTTTTTGATTATCACGCTTTAATCTACACAAATTAACCAATCATATGACCTTATCTGCGTAACAATCGTGTAACAAATAGATTTAAATCACTATCGCAATACTTTCTTTATCGTCAAACACTCTGCACTCAATAATGGAACTGGTCGTCTTTGCTGAAGTACTACCTAATGTTCGGTCCATGACCATGAACGTTGGATTACTTACTGAAAAAAAAAGTTCGTCTTTCAAACTCGGAATATATCCCTTAAGGATTAGTTTAGAGTATAAAAATAAATCAACTACGCAAAGTCTGCAGACTGTATTGAATCTTTCACAGACTATTGAAACTGATGATAAACCAGTTATTATTAGTTCACAAGATAGTTTAGATATCAGATTAAAATTGAGAAGCTATGTTCGCAAGAAACCAGCAAACCAGCCGAGTGTCAAGGATACACATCCACCCTTTTCGGCAAATGAACTAACAAAGCTTAAAAACATCCAATGTGTTTATTGTAAAACACCATTACTTAAAACAAACGCGTTTTCTAAAATAATGGATATGCCTTCAGAACATTGGGAGGAACTAGTAGATTGTTGGATGTGTCACCAAGAAGATTATCAACAAGCACGAATGAGTGACATAATTGCTAGAGAAAATATCGGGTTGGTTGGCAATACATATTTCTTGATTCATCCTAAAGATGTTAAAAGTGATACTGTCGGAATCGAAGAAAGATTGGCCCAAGTGGATGTATGAAATTCATATAATATTTATATATATATATTTTGGTTTTATAATAATTGGACTTAAAGAAGGCTAAGATCTAAAGAAATTGATAATTAGTCGATACTAAAGTCCTATAATAAGTGGAAAAAAATTTTCTGCACCTTCGAGAATTCGATACGCGTGTACTAGTATTGTGATGCGTATTATTACGTTGGAGCACATATCAATTAATTAGCTTACATATAATACCTTATTTATTTATTTTTATTTTTTTTATTAGTGGTCCAAAGGTCTTTCAAAAAAATGGAGACCATTAAATTGTACTAGATGTTTGTGTCCTATCGGGGAAGGATTATATCAAAAGACCAAAAAGGCAGAAGAGAACGACGCGTCAGGTACGCGTTATCTGTTTATTTTAGACCATTATTGGACTTTCTATTTTTTAAAAAAGGCTAACAAATCATGATGCATTTCCAAGAATTATCTTTATTAGCAATTAGGCTTAGTAAACAGGCAGTTTTGGTTGAGTTAGAAAGTGATACTAATGAGTAAGCTACTTGTAATTGTAAGGTACAGATTGTACAGTTGATAAATCAGTAAATTGCTATTTATCTATGTAGATCAATTACACAGAGATATCCTTTTAGCGCATTTATAGCTGCCGACCTTTTTGAAGCGGCAAAAGCGCATGCTACTTATCGCTTTATAATTGAAGGGCAAAATTCGAATCAAACTTACGCTTTAGTAAGAATATCATATTAACTTTCATGATAAGTACATTACATATAACAAATGATGAAATATTATTATTGTAGATTTGGTTATTCGGTTGGGACACAAAGGTTATAACGAATTCTTTGCGAGATGAAACACAATGCTGTAAATTTTCTCCAAGTGTAGCGCAATCTTGTATCGCTATTAAAAGCGATTTAAAACCTTACAATGGTGAGTGTTTTTATGAGGATGTGAATTTGTTAAATTCTTAATAAATTTTGGACTTTTTTTTTTTTATTGTTTATCGGTTTTTTTTTTCTTTTCGAAGTTATTAAATTATTATATATAGATTGCACATCCCAAAGTAATGACAAATCTTCTAGGTTAGTTTTCAAAATTTATTCTTTTGGTTTAAATATTAAAATATTGACAATATTGCATTTTTCTTTTTTATTTACTTGAAGCATTCTTGGGCAATGGCAAAAAGATAAAACTGTTGAACACCTTGTGTACCATAATGATATTTGCTTACAAATATTACTAATGTTGAAAGTAAGTACTAGTTGTTTACCATTTAGTAAAAGGATTATGAATGGTTTTTCCGTTGGCTTTATTGATATACATGGTTGTTAGTAAATATCATAAAAAAATAAGATTAATTGCTTTGTTGTATTGATCTGTAAACATACATGGTTATGTTAAATAAATTTACATATAAAAGTAATAATAAAAAGAAGGAATAAAAATTTCTACTTTATAATTTTGATTGAAGTAATGCCAGGTTACCTATATAAAAACCTTTTAGCAGTTCTATAGCCTTTGTAGAATGTATTGCAGTAAATTCATTTGTGGCATCTTTTCCAGCATTGATAAGGATAGAAGCAGTGCCACCAGGGTGTTTTTTCAAGAATTTAGTACAATTATAAACTTTTTTATTGATTATAATCCAGCAATCTTTTTCATTATTATGTTTAGCAACTTCATTAATAGTAAAGGTAGGAATCTGACTATTGATAGTAGAAACATCTGAAGGTTTCGAGGTTATTAACTTTGGAGAAGGTTTAACCATCCATCCACCAGGATTATTTCCAGGTTGTGTTGGATGTTCAAATACTAAACGGAATTCATTTCCTTGAGGAATTGTATTGACTTTTACACGAAAATGACAGTTATTCATCATTCCCATTACATTCCAAGTTGGATTCCTAGGTTGAGTATTTTGAGTAGAATCCCAAGCTCTAACAGAAATTTCTTCACATCGAATGAAAGAATGGAATGGTATAATTAAAGACCAAAAACTCCAACACCAATATCTAGGAATTGGATTTATTCTTCTCTTAAGAACAGCAGGATGAACAAGTTCAGGTTGATCTAATTTAGAAAGAAGCCAAGTTTTACCATTGTCTAGAGAGACCTCAACACGGGTAATCTTATGACCACCTCCAGTATAAGCATAACCTTTGAGAGTATACATTTGGTTATTAAAAAAGCTTGATAATGGAATATATTCATTATGTGCCGGAGAAGTTATGACAGAATTAATATTGAGATAGTTGATAATATAATTCGGATTATACCATGCTTTTTCTTTAGTAGCACGTTCAGCATCGAATTCAGGAGGAAGAACACGATTATCATGATAATGATAATAACTATCAGATTCTTTATTGCTTATAGTTATCTTTGAAAGCCATTTAACCATTCTACCACCAATACATCCAGGAATTATTACACGTAATGGATAACCATGGTCAGGAGTTAATCTTTCACCATTCATCTCATAAGCCAAGATAACATCATTAACATCATTAAGAGACCATTCTAAAGGAATGCTTGTACCATAAAAACCATTAGGTAATTTATCAACGCCAGAAAAGCAAACATAACGAGGACCATTGACACAATCATTAAGATTAACACCAGCTAATTTTAAAATATAATTTAATGGGACACCTTTCCAAATTGCACAACTTGTAGCTGCAGGACCCCAATTAAAACCTATAGATTGCTTAATCATATTTTGTTCCTTTCTACGATTTCCAGCACAAACAAGAGTTACCGGAAATTCTTTATAAGGAAGATTTTCAAGATCATTCATTGATAAATTCAAAGGGTTTGATACTAATCTAAAAAAAAATTAAAAAATTAACTAATTAGTTAATATATAATATATTATAATAATAATGTTCAAGAAAGCTGTAATGCAAGAGACTGAAATTAAAGAAAATAAAATATATACCCATCAACAACTAGACGATGAATATCCCAATGAAGTTTAGGTACAGGACCATGATTCCTTACATAATGTAAAGGAACAGGTGTTATGAAGCCTTGATCCATTAGAAGAGATAGAGGAGATTCGGCATTGAATGGGTGCTTTCCAGTGAGACGTACCATTTCGGAGTGACGTGGAATCCAGTCGTCAGGTGTACCTATGTCACGAGGATCGATAGTGTTGATACTTGTAGCTGCTGCCATTAGTTATGGATAAGGTTTAACCTTAAAAGACAGTGAAGGTATAAAATTAATGCAATATAAAAAGAGTGTAAAAAGAAAGTACTAAAGTTCAACCAGAAACATAGTGAGCTATTATATATTTATTTTATCTGTAAAATCAATTAACGTTATAGTAAGAGGGGTCTACATACATGTACACATATAGTAGTGGTTTGTGCGGGTTGTGCATGAAAATATGTATTAATGTTACACGAATGGAAATGCAGGTTTATCTTATCTTTATCCGGCTTTGGTAACTATCTTATCTTATCTTAACACATAATTTTTATCAAATAATTCACGTGTTTATTTGTTTCTACGTATAACTGATAATACTTTTCTGGTACATATAACGATAATAGTTAAACGTAGGCTTAATAATATTATTATTATAGTACGCACGAATGATTATTATTATTATTAATGAAATTCCATTAGTGTAAATAAGGTGTCGAATTACGGAACTTACTGTTACCGCAAAATGCCGTTCATTTATTTATATTTCTTAAAATGCAATTGTTAATAATATTTTTGGTTAACCAATCGTTGTTAACTCCTTAACAATGATTGCATATCGATATACCAAGTCACGTGTAAACTGTAAAGTACGTTGGCTACTTTAGATGGCGTTTTACGTAACTAGGTGTAATTGCTTCGGACAATTATTATGTTTGTAAACATTGATAATGAATATGGCAAATAAATAAAGAATTTGCATGAAATAGAAGTGTGAATTTGATAATTGAAGTATATACAGGAAATTTTATCCAAGCGCAGACTTTTCTGATCAAAGTATATAGATTATATAAAGTATCTTTATCTACTCTATTCTGAGAATAGAAAAATAAGATTCTTTCTATTCTTCCTTTTCTCTGTTTTCTCTAAATACAATTTTTTTTATTAACTACCTATACATACTTATAGTCGACTGTAATGATAAGAAAGATAAGCGATATATGTACAAAAAACACGATTATTTACTAAATATTATGAATTATGATACACATCCCGATACGCATTTTCAACATCTAATTTTTCCTCCACTTTACGCTTTTCTGCAGTCTTTATTGGTTTTAGTGGTAGTCAAGTGACGAATCGTCATAGTACAATACAGAAAGTGAAGGCAAAATTGGACTATTCTGATAGCACTTTAAGATCGGTAAAAATCGGGCAGGAGTAATATGACACAAATGTGAGGAACGAGTAATGTAAAAATCGGGTTTAATCGAAACTTACCTCTAAAATCGTCTTTTACATTTTAATATAAAAATATTGTTTTAAGAAGCTTTAGCCAATTCTAACCTTTAAAAACCTTTCTTTATACTATCTCATTATCGTTCAATCAATCATAGATCACTCGTGGCGGTTTGCGAGCAAACTTACCTGCAAGACAGTGTATGAAATAATAATTAAAATGGAAATATAATGGTACACAATTATTGAAATATAGTTTCTTGAAAGAAAGACAAAAAAATTTTTTTTATTTAGTATCACGCAAGGAGTGTAGTGGAAGGTTGGACGGATCGAAAGTTTTTTTTTCTGAATTTCTTTAATATATCTATTTTGGTACCTAAATATATTTTTAGAATATCAGATGACTTAGTCGCAGTAGTTGAGAAGACCTTTTTACTGCGCACTCATCCAGTTTTGCCTAATTACGTCAGAATTCGTAACTTGACTAGAAATGTACCGCGCGAGATAAACCTAGCATGTCTCACATATTGTACGACTTGTGAGATTCTTATATTAGATAAAAACTGTAATTTAGTATATTATAATTTTAGTGATAAATTTATAGATAATTTACTAATATAAATCCATTGAATTTGCGAAATGAATATAAAATAACGTAACCATCTCGTGCGAAGGCACATCATTAACCCTGACTCTTTATTGTCGCTACTGATGAGTAGTTATTAATTGAGTGAAGACCTGAAATCCAAATATTTTATTTTACAGTAATCTATACTTAGACTTCCTGGATCTTATTTTTACAGCATTCTAATTTCGTCAGTATTAGGTGTGATCAAGTAACTCATATTTCCCGACCATGTTTCATGTGGACATCCACTTATACAATTAGTATAGCTGTGATTCTTTACCATATTTCTAAACTTTCGACAGCAATGATAGTCACTATGGTTTTTTGGAATCTATAATCGTTAGGGTGTTCATCAAATTGGCAAATCAATAGGTAAAAAGCATGAACAATAAACCCTAGAGTTAGACCAAGAATGATAAAAAATGTTCAAAAAAGGCCATATCGATATATAAAACTTATTATGTAAGGATTTTTTACAGTAATTTCGGAAATTTCGGAAAATTAACTTTGCGGTTGAGCAAATTATTTTAATACAATTTACAAAGGTACACCTTTCAAATCAAAAACACAAGATTTTTGTATTTTTTTTTTTTAAATTGTAGCTTTTATTTCTCTCTTTTTGATAACAAACTCCGTTTGTAGGATTTTAATTGGTTCACAGTTGTTAAAGTTGAGTAAAGCATGTCTACTTTATTAAAGAATTAACTATTCATAAATAGAATAAATCGTTGTTACACTATTATAAGTGAGTTATGTCTCAAAAAATTGACTAGCGATAATATGTTAGTTCAGAAACATGTACTGAAAGTTACTATTATCTGCAGTAAATTCGGATTTTCCACCATATCCGCGGATATGAATAGTTTATATAATCGCCAATCACTTTAAATACTTCAATTTTCTCGTGACTTAATAAAATTTATTATGATTAACCAGTAAAATCGATTTAATGACTTAATTATTGTGACGGATTAAAATGAAATCAGATTAAATAGACAATACAAATTTTTGAGGTGCATTTTTTTAGCATTTTTTAGGGTTAGGGTTAGTGTTTAGGGGTAGAGTTTATAATAAACAAGTATAAGTGGGTTTTAGGTGGTCAAATAGAAATCCCTCATTTCATTTTGATCCGCGACAATTATTATATCCGGATTTGGCCTTGATATTTGGAATTAACGTGACAATACGTTGCTGATTGACCAAAAAAACGTTATTTCTTCACAACGAAAGCAATTAACTTGGATTTGTTATGTGAGTGTATCGGTTTTCATGAAATTCTCAATTTTAACAGCATTCTTATTTGCTTGAACCAAAATTTTTACAAGATTGCACTTGGAACAGTAAGAAATTGGAATGTACTTATTATTATGCTTTTTAATTATTGTGTGTAACATAAAAATTATTTTTACAATACCAGATCATTCCACTAGTACATGTTATAATTATCATTAATGATGCTGGTGAAATTAAATAAGTGATGCAATTGAATTGGCAAATGATAAATTGGTGAAATAGTGAAACAGCTAAAATGGTGAAATGGTGAAATAGTAGTCATAAGGTCTACTATATCAAAGTTGAAATAAATGTATAAATCTAAATAAAAACATTGATAATTATATAAATAAGTATAGAGAATAAAAGTAGTCAAATATTAATTATTTTATCATTTTTATCATTTTACTTTTGTTATTTCATTATTTTACCAATTTGCTAATTTATTATTTTACCAATTTTGCCAATTCACTATTTTACTAATTTTATCAATTTATCAATTTTATTAATTCTATCATTTTACCTGATTAAATAGTTTAATTTTACTAGCATCTATAATTATAATTTTACATATTAGTTATCTTATTAAGTATAATACACCAACTTGATATATTTAAATTAAGGAGTTTGTTATTTATCACTAATAGTAATTACTAGAATTACATAATACTATCAAACTAAGATATACTGATTTAATATTAATATGAATGTTAATAAAAAATTTATCTTGTATAATCTATATGCTCACTTTACTTACAACTATTATAGTTAGTTTTATAATAGCTATTAAATCATTAGCTTAAAAAATTTTACTAGCTAATTCAATTTAATAATTATATGCAATATAATAAAAATATAACAAAAAACATTTAAAGTTTATATAAGGCTCTTCTGTGTATTAAGAAAAAATTTTTATAAAAATTTTACTTAAACTATAGCCTTCTAAACTCTTCTATTCTTAATCTTAATCTTAACTAATAGTAAAAAATTTTTTTAATAAGATTATATAATCAATAAAATTTTATAAAGTAATAAGACTAAAATTATAGTAATTTATCTATGCTTTTTCTAATAAAATATTAAAACATTACTTAAACTTTTAGATAATATATATATTAGATTAAACTTATAAGTTATTTTTCTTAAATATATTGAATAGTATCTATATATTAACTTGCTAATTTGGTATAATATTTAGAAGTGTTTAGCAAATTTAAGCTATAATCTATTAAATATTTGAATAGTTAACAATTTATTATATTTAACATTATAATTAGTATTTTGTAAAAAAAGAACTAGTTGGACCTAACATTTTTAGTAACTATAAAAGTAGTGTTTTACTAAAGATACTTAAACTAAAAATTATATATATAATAATATGAAAAACTTCATATTAGAAAAAGGCTTTATTTTATATTTTCTATATAACTGTTATTAGTAACAAGTATTTAAAATCATTAAATCCAGATCCAAAACTGAACTAGATCCAAAAACTTTGAAAGACTTTGAAGACTTGCTCCTGGTAACAGGTATATAAAAAATACAAATTAAAGCCTATTTTTAATATAGGTTTTTCTACATTATTATATATATAATTTTTAGTTCAAATACTTTTTGTAGAATACCACTTTTATATTAACTAAAAATACTGTTTTTAATTAGTTCTTTTTGCAGAATACTAGTTATAATATAAAAGTCTTTTTGTAAACATTTTAATAAAATTTGTTAATAAAAAATTTTTAATAATATAATTTCAATAATGTATTTTCTAACTTTAAAACAATAAGTATATATCAGTTTTTGAAATTATATTTAGTATTACAAGACTTAGCAAATTACTAATATATGCAAACATAACAAGAGTCAAAGTTGTAATTTTAATTTTGTT